GGAACCACTGAGACTATGGCCCCTAGATGCTCTTCAGGTCTGGAATTAAACCCACGCCTGTGGCTTCCAGCCAAGCAATAGATAGGCATATGAGTTGAACATTTGCCTTAGGTAAACACACTCCTTGGAGAGAACAATAATGGGAGAAAGAAGGGCTGCTTATGCACAGGGAGACAGCTCAGGGGGCAGGAGTGCATGGAGGGATGGACACAGGGAAGAGGTGACTATCGGGGGGAAGTATGAGGGGAGATGTTGCATTGTGGTGAATTGTGGTCAATGTCATGAGACAAAGTGCATGTAAACTGCTGTATGGAAAGTTAATTTGCTCTGTAAATTTTCACCGAAATCACACACACACACAAAAGAGTTGTACAAATATTCAAAAATTACTGTAAAGCAAAGATGAGGAAGTAACAGAGCAGGGAAACTAGAGTATAGAAATGGTATAACCAGAATTGAATGAATGAGAATGATGACACATTGTGAAAAATGTAACCAATATCACTGAATAAACTATGTAGAAACTGTTAAATGGGGCATAATTTGTTTTGTAAATTTTCATCTTACATACAATAATATATATTTTTATATATATAAATGTAGATTAAACTCATTGCCATTGAGTTGATTCTGACTCATAGCAAGCCCCTTTGCATTTTGAGGCAGTAAATCTTTACAGAAGTAGATTGCCCAGTCTTCCTTCTGAGGAATGGATGGTCAGTTTGAACTGCTAATCTTCTGGTTAACAGTCAGATGCCTTAGGCACTACACATTGACTTGATAGCAGTGAGTTTGGTTTTGTTATATACATGTATGTATATGTGTTTATATATATGTATATTTTAATGTACTATTGTACCTAATAGGAGGTCTGGTAGCATAATGCCTAAGGCACTTAACTGCTAACCAGAAGGCTGGCAGTTCAAACCTACCAGCTACTCCTCGGAAGGAAGGTTGGGCAATCTACTTCCATAGTGATACCACCTTGGAAACCCAAGGAGGTGTCACTATGAGTCAGGGCCGACTCGACGGCACATAACAACAACAATAACAACATTGTACCTAATAAAATGTCTTTTCTTCCTCTGAGTGGTCCAAATGGTTAATGCATTCAGCTGCTTACTGGGGCCTTAAAATTTTTCAAGCAGCCATCTAAGATGCAGCTAATGGTCTCCTCTCATCTGAAGGAAAGAAAAGTGAGGAAAATCAAAGGCATTTGGGAACAATCAGCCCTAGGACACGATGGACCTCAAGATCAGAACTAGATGGTGCCTGGCTACCAATGCCAACCACTCGGGAAGGGATCAAAACTGGAAATCCTGGATAGAGTGGGAGGAAAAACGTGGAACAAAATTCAAAAGCATAATAATGATCTGAATTATTGGTCAGATGGAGTCTGGTGGGTCTGCCAAGACTGTGGCCCTGGGATACACTTCAGGCCTGGGATAGGACTCACTCCCAAGGACTGACTCTCAGCCCAACAGTAGAAAGACTTACATGCAGAACACCCAAGCCAGTGCTATGCACCCATCTACTCTATGGAGATACACCCATTGGAGTAATCAGCCATGGGGCACCAGAGGGCTAGCATTGCCACGGAGGGAAAGCTGGACAGACAAGAATGCATAACTAAGAAGGGCACAGAGAGGGGAAGTTACAGGGAAGGGAGGGGTGGAGAGTGGGATAGGGTTGGGGATAGTAATCAGGGAGTAAAACCAAAGGTACATGAACTGTTGAATGTAAAACAAATTCTGCTCTGTAAATTTGCACCCAAAGTACAATAAAAATAAAAAGGTCTAGCAAACTACTTCTGAAAAAGCACCTGTTGAAAATGCTATGGAGCACAGTTCTAGTGTGACACAAATGGCAAATGGTGCCTCCATAAGTCAGAATAAACTCTGTAGCAGCTGTTTGTGTTTTGGTCACTTGCTCTAAAGCTTCAGGAAAATCCTAGACCCTTTCCACTGAATAGGCTATGGCAGTCACCTGAGGTAGCCTGACACCTTTCCATTACTAGTTTCCAGGATTGGACTCAATGTTTTCCTTCTCAAGGAAGCCTTTCTTTATGCCTTTCTCCTCCCCAATATGGACCTAAGACATGGAATATTCAATCACCACATATGTGTGCAAAACCTGGACTATAAATAAGGAAGACCATAGAAGAACTGATGTGTTTGAATTATGGTGCTGGCAAACAATACTGAATATACCATGGAGTACCAGAAGAATGAAAAAAATCTATCTTGGAAAAAATGCAGCCAGAATGCTCCTTAGAAGTCAGGATGGTGAGACTTAGTCTTATGTACTTTGGACGTGTTATCAGGAGGAACCATTACCTAGAGAAGGACATCATGCTTGGAAAAGTAGAGGGTGAGTGAAAAAGAGGAAGACATTTAACAAAATGGATCATCACAGTTGCTTCAGCAATGGGTTCAAACATAGTAACAATTGTGAGGATAGTGTGGGACCAGGTAGTGTTCATTCTGTTATACATTAGGTCACTACGAGTTGAAACTGACTCGACACCATTATAAAGAAAAACCCCATCAGCCAAGGTAGGCTCCTCAGACCATCCTTGTCTGCTCCTGACATAGCCCTCACCTGACCAAATTGTCACAGCTTCTAAGTGTGCTCATCTTCCACACTGGACTGTGTAGTGAGAAAAGGAACTATGGCTTGCATTCTTCTGTCTCCACACCCTTACACAAAACATTAATCCCCTCTGTTCAGTAAGTGTTAAATATCTAAATAATTAGTGAGTTAATAAATTGCACCCAAAGTACAATAAAAAGAAAAAATAATTTCAAAAAAAAAGATAAAAAGAAAAACAAATTCAATAAATGTTTGTAGACTGATAGATTTTTATCTGACATCAAATGTTTTAAAATCACTGCAACTATTTTCAATTTGCTGTTAAATCTGTAACACTTACTTTATAAACTTGCTTTGTAACTCACAATTCTTGAATGTGAATCAGAAGGCATTTTTTTTCAGTAACCAAGTTCTTTATTAAAAACAATGAATCAGCAACTCAGAACATTTTTGGTATAAAAATTCTGAGTTGATTTAGTTCAAGTCCATCATTTTAGAAATGGGAAAGCAGAAACTGGGAGAGGAAAGTGATTTTTCAGTGTCAACAGCAACTTAATAGTCAAAGTGTTAGGAGCCTAGAGGCAAAGAAGTTGGGTAAATGAACAATAGCACACCCCTCAGTGTGCTTACCGTACATCCGAAGCTTTTCAGTAAGTTTGTTCACATCAATGTGCAACTGGCTTTCTATAAAATGTCTTATAAATTTGTTTGTCAGGGCTTCCTAAAGGAAAATGATATAGTTAAAAGAAAGAAAAAAAATAAAAAGAATTACTTCATTTCTTTTTATTGGATATTTTTTAGAGTTATTCAAAATTTTACTATACAAAAGAAGGCCTGTAAAATGAAGCCAATTAAAAGTTGTTCTAAAACATCACAATAAATAGTGGGGCAAAATTTGTAGGACTTTATCTTGAAAAAAAAAAGAAAATAACAATTATCAAAATTTATATTGTAATTGTAATCTGCACCAATATTGAAAACAAAGAATGAACCAAGTGTTGAATTTTTGAAAGAATATTCTAATAAAACTATATTAAACTACTTGGTGATATCCTATATCATCCTTTACTTTATATTACTTTTTCCACAGTCCAGCTATAAAGAGGGAGTCATTATTGCACAAATACTGATGAAAGGGTTTTCATCATTTCGCCACATCTCTCGTAATCTTTGAGATTCAAATCATACTTTTTGGAAGCATCTTTTTATTTTGTCATTTGTATCATTTTTATCTCATCATTAAAATTGTTCTAACTCTACCTTATTTTTGAAAGTTTTTCTATGGAGGCTCTCTAAATCATTGCATAGACTTACTGTAATAATATGTCTTTGCTCTGACATGAATTTATTCTCATTGTACCACTACATATTTACAACATCCAACAATCACCAAGAAACTGAGAGTGGAAATTGTTGATGTGGTGAGGCTGAATCCCAGTATTAAACAAGGAGGGATTAATTTTAGAATTTATCAGTTCATTGCAGGATATTTATATTTTATCATGATTCTGTATTACCACACAAAGATATCTTGGGAAGCTTCAGACAAGGAACTGTCAAATAACCGGCATCTTCAATGTTTAGGCTTTTATTTCTTACATTTGGCTCATTACATATAACAATTGTACTCCCTGGAAGGAAAGTTGGGCAATCTACTTCCGTAGTGATACTGCCTCGGAAACCCAAGGAGGGGTCACTCTGAGTCGGGTCTGTTTCGATGGCAAATAACAACAATAAGGATGACAAGCCTATTATGAAACTTGACATTCACTTTTTTTATAAACTTATTTGATTTCTTTCATTGAGCATTTAATACTTGTCAAACAATGTGCTGGACAATTTATTATATATTATCTCATTTAATCTCCACAACATCCCCATCTGGAAATTGTTGTTGCTTTTGGAGCTCTGGTGGTGCACTGTCTAAGGCATTTGACTGTTAACCAGAAGATTTGCAGTTCAAACCCACCAGCTACTCCACAGAAGGAAAACTGGGCAATCTACTTATGTAAAGATTTACCTCGTTAGAAACCCAAAGCGGTAGCTATGAGTTGGAATCAAATCCCTGGTACTGAGTTTGAGTTTTTACTGATAAGGAAAGGAAAGCACTGGTATAAGAGTCACCCGAAGGCAAAACTATTCCATCTAGTGGCAGAACTAACTGCAAACACATCTCCTGACTCTTCAAAATACAAATACATCATAAACTGAACTTGATCCCAATGTTAAGAAACAGAGTAGCAACTTACTACACTTTATTCTGTGTAAAATATCAAGTGATGGAATGTTGTTGTTATGTTCCGTGGAGTCGGACCCGACTCATAGTGACCCCTCCTTGGGTTTCTGAGGCAGTGTCACTACGGAAGTAAATTGCCCAACCTTCCTTCCAGGGAGTAGCTGGTGGTTTGAACTGCCAGCCATCTGGTTAGCAGTCAAGTGCCTTAGGCACTACACTACTATGTGACTTTAATTTCTAAAATATCTACTTAACAAACAGTGCTCAGATAAAATGTAATCTTCTCCAGAAAACTATGCCCAACTCTTGAGATAAAGTTGTTGTTGTTTGGTGTTGTGGAGTTGATTTTGAATCATAGTGACTCCATGTGATAGTAGAACTGCTTCAAAGGGTTTTCTAGTTTGTAATCTTTATGGGAGCAGATCACCAAGTCTTTCTCTTGCAAAACCGCTGGGTGAGTTCAAATTGCTAACCTTTCAGTTAGCAGCCAATTGCTTAACCATTACGCCACTAGGCCTCCATGAAACAGAGTTAGGCATTCCTTTATGTTTTCATAAGACCTTATATATTCTCAATTTGCCACTTATAAAACCCACTGCCATCGAGTGGGATCTGACTCATAGTGCCCCTCCTTGGGTTTCTGAAACAGTGTCACTATGGAAGTAGATTGTCCAACCTTCCTTCCAAGAAGTGCCCAGTGGGTTTGAACTGCCAGCTTTTTGGTTAGCAGTCAAAAGCCTAAGACATTTGCATGCAATTATGGCTAGTTATACCAGCAACTTTATCAAAGTCTATAATATTTACTGTCTGCCAGTTACAGAAAAAGTTTGCTGATCCTTGTACTAAAAAATTAGTCAATGAGCAAACCTCTCTGAAATCCATTTCTCTCTGAGGAGTCATGCCTCCCTACAGGCTATCCCCAGCAATGTCAGGGCACAGTAGGCATATTGAGTCAGTACCATTCCTAGAAGACACAAGACTCCTTTGATAGCTGACATCAGCTCAATGACTCCCTGGCAGTCTTGCTCAGCATTCTTTAAACTGCAGGGTATTCTGGGGTGGCTTCCTCTTGAGGTTCTTCTCTCCTGCAGCCAGAGTCACATTTGCAGCATGGTCTGACAGCTCTAGAAGCCTTCACTGCTGCCTCCTCTTTTTCTTTAGCAGGTGTTTCCATAGTGAAATCTTTGTACATGTACCCCATCTTGGCATTTGCTTTTTGGATGGCCCAGATTTATACAATAGTATTTCCTATGTGCAAAATACTACTCTAAGTGTTTTGCCCACCCTAGCTTATTTATGCAAGATATGATTTTGTAAATTCTTCTAAATAACCACTGTGATTTATCATGTGTACACTAGCAGGTAGCTCCACAACCCACATTGACAATGAGTCATTACTCACCTGGAATTGGTTAAGCATCTGACCATTTCCACTTCTCTGAAAAAGGTTGGATATGTTCAGTAGTATTTTTGATAGAGTCTTTATCTTGTCCACAAAATAAAATGTATAATTAGCCTGCAAAATAAAGCATATTTGAATATGGCTTTAATTCAATCAAAAATTATATTGAGGTGACTCTTTTGTGATACAGCATAGATCCATCACAAAGAAGAAATTGAACATTAAAAAATCAGCAAAAAAAAAAGGCTCGCCCAAGAAAGCTTCACTGGTGAATTCTACCAAAGACCAGAAAAGAGAAGATACAAATTTTACTCAAACTATTCTAGAACACAGAAAAGGATGGAATACTCCTGAACATTCTATGATATAAACATAACCCTGATATTGAAACTAGGCAAAGTTGTCATTAAAAAGAAAATTATAGACCAATATGCCTCATAAACATTGATGCAAATATTCTTAAAAAATCCTAATCAATAGAATCCAACAATATACAAAATAATAATAATAATAATACATCATGACCAAGTCAGGTTTATACCAGGTATGCAAGGATGGTTCAACATTGGAAAAACAATCAACATAATCCACCACACAAATAAAATAAAGGACAAAAAACACAGGATAATATAAATCAAAGCAGGAAAAGTATTTCACAAACTCCAACACCCATTCTCAGCAAAAATAAGAAAAGAAGATAAATTCCTCAATATAATTAAGGACAAAACACAAAACCAATGACCAACATTATACTCAACAGAGACAGACTGAAAACATTCTCCTTGACAATGGGAACCAGACAAGGATACCCTTTATCACCACTACTATCAATTTTGTATTGGAAGGCCTATCCACAACAATAAAGCAAGAAAGAGAAATAAAAGGTATTGAAATTGAAAAAGATGTAAAACTATGTCTATTTGTAGATGATATGTTCAATACATAGAAGATCCCAGAGATTCAACTAGTAGAAGGATTAAGCAAAGTGGCAGGGTACAAGACCAACATACAAAAATTAATTGGATTCTTCTACACTAACAAAGAGAACCCTGAAAAAGAAATCAAGAAAACAATATCTTTTACAATAACCATCTAAAATATGAAGCACTCAGTAATAAATCTAGGAGCTCTGGTAGCATAGTACCTAAGACACTTGACTGCTAACCAGAAGGCTTATGGTTGAAACCCACCAGCCACTCCTCAGAAAGAAGGTTGGGCAATCTACTTCTTTAATGATACTGCCTCGGAAACCCAAGGAGGGGTCGCTATGAGTCAGGTCTGATTTGACAGCACATAACAACAACAACAACAGAAATCTAACCAGAGATAAAAAAAAAAAAAAAAAAAAATTTAAAAAAAAAAAAAAAAAAAAAAAAACCTACATAACACGACTAAAAGAAATCAAAAGAGACATAAATAAATGGAATGCACATGGTTAAGAAGACTTAACATTGTGAAAATATCAGTACTACTCAAGGCCAGGCCCAAAACAGGTAGGCAGGAGCATGGTGCTCAGGATTTTGGGGTGTCTTTATTCAAGGTCAGGCCCCAAACAGGTGAGGAAGTGAAGAGAGTGGCTAGGAACAACTAAGGCAATGAACTTGTCTGTCAGTTTGTTATCTTGTGGTGGCTTAGGCATCGCTGTAAGACTGGAGACTATGCCACCAGTGTTGCAAAATGCAAGCAGGTTTACCTGTGGTGGACAGCTTTCAGCAGAGCTCCCAGACTAAGATAGATGCCAAAGAACAAAGAGGCCATTCACTTCTCAAAGAATTGTCCAGTGAAAACCTTATGAATAGCAGTGAAGCATGGTCTGATATATCAGTGGAAAACTTTATGAATAGCACTGAAATATTGGCCAATATAGTGCTGGAAGGTGAGCCCATCAGATCAGAAGCCACTCAAAATTTGACTGGGGAAGAGTTGACTCCTCACAGTAGAGAGGACCTTAACGATATGGATGGAGTGAAGTTTTTGGGCCCTCTACTGGCTGATATGGCATGACTCAAAATAAGTAGAAACAGCTACAAACATACATTAGTAATCAGAACCTGGAACATATGAAATATGGATCTAGTAAAACTAGAAGTTGTCAAAATGAAATAGAACACATAAAAATCAGTATCTTAGGCATTAGTGAGCTAAAATGGGCTGATTTTGCCATTTTGAATTAGACAATCATATGATATGCTATGTTGAGAATGACAAATTGAAGAGGAATGGTGTGGCATTCATCATCCCAAAGACTGTTTCAAGATCTGTTCTGAAGTACAATGTTGTCAGTGATAGGATTATATCTATATGCCTGAAATGAAGACCAGTTAATACCACTATTATTCAAATCTATGCACCAACCACAAAAGCCAAATGGGAGGAGATTGAAGATTTCTACCAAATTCTACAGTCTGAAATTGACCAAATGTGCAATCGAGATGTGTTGTTCATCACTGGTTACTGGAATGCAAAAGTTAGAAATAAAGAAGAGTCACCAGCAGTTGGAAAATATGGCCTTGGTGATAGAAATAATGCTGGAGACAGCATGATAGAATTTTGGAAGACCAACAATTATTCATTTCAAATATCCTTTTTCAACAACACAAACAGTCGCTATACACGTGGACTTTGCCAGATGAAATACACAGGAATCAGACTGATGACATCTGTGGCAAGAAGCGATGTTGTTGTTGTTAGGTAGGTGCCATTGAGTTGTCTCCAACTCATAGCAAGCCTATGCACAGCAAAACAAAACACCACCTGGTCTGTACCACCTCTGTGATTCTTGCTATACTTGAGCCCATCACCACATCCACTGTGTCAATCCATATTATTGAGAGCCTTCCCCTCTTTCATTGACCCTCCACCTTACCAAGGATGACATCCTTCTCCAGGGATGGTCTCTTCTGATAAGATGACCAAAGTAGGTGAGACTGAGTCTGGTCATTCTCACTTCCAAGGAGCATTCTGGCTGCACTTCCTCCAGGACAGATTTGTTAATTCTTTTAGCAGTCCATGGTACTTTCAGCACTCTTCACCAGCACCACAACCCAAAAGCATCAATTCTTCTTCTGTCTTCCTTATTCATTGTCCAGCTTTCACATGAATATGAGGTGATTAAAAATATAACGACTTATGTCAGACGCACTTTAGTCCTCAAGGAGAAATCTTTGCTCCTCAACAGTTGAAAGAGATACTTTCCAGCCTACTTGCCCAGTGTTATACATTGTTTGATGTCCTGACTGCTGTTTTCATTGGTGTAAATTGTAGAACCAAGCAATGTGAACTCTTTGACAACTTCAAACTTTTCTCCATTTATTGTGATGCTGCTTATAAGTACAGTTGTGAGGATTTTTGTTTTCTTTATATTGAGATGTAACCCACACTGCAGATCATATTCTTCAATCCTCATCAGTAAGTGCTTCAAGTCATCCTCACTTTCAGAGGCCATGGAGAAGTTCAATATCTTCAGTCAAAATAAGGCCAGGAATGGATTGTAGAATAGGCCATTAACTGCTCATATGCAAATTGAAGTTGAAGACAATTAAAACAAGTCCACAAGAGCCAAAATATGACCTTGATAATATCTATCCAGAATTTAGAGACCATCTAAAGAGTATATTTGTTGCATTGAACACCAGTGACCGAAAACCAGAGGAATTGTGGGATGACATCAAGAACACCATTCATGAAGAAAGCAAAAGGTATTTAAAAAACAGGAGAGGAAGAACAGACTAAAATGGATGTCAGAAGAGACTCTGAAACTTGCCCTTTAGCAGAGAGTAGCTAAAACAAATGGAAGAAATGACAAGATAAAAGAGCTGAAGAGAAGATTTCAAAGAGCAGCTCAAGAAGACAAAGTCAATTATTATAATGAAATGTGTGAAGACATGGAGTCAGAAAAGCAAAAGGGAAGAACAGACTCAGCATTTCTCAAACTGAAAGACCTCACGAAAAATTTAAACCTCGAGTTGCAATATTGAAAGATTCCATGGATATTGAATGATGCAGAAAACATCAAAAGAATATAGAAGGAATACAAAGAGTCACTGTACCAAAAAAAAATTGGTTCACCTATTTCAAGAAGTGGCATATACTCAAGAACCAATGGTATTGAAGGAAGAAGCTGATGTTGCACTGAGGGAAGTGGCAATGAACAAGGATCCAGGAACTGATGGGATACCCACTGAGATGTTTCAAAAAACAGATGCTGCACTAGAGGCACTCACTCAGCTATGCCAGATTTGAAAGACAATTACTTGGCCAACTGACTGGAAAAGATCCTTATTTGTACCCATTCCAAAGAAAGGTGATTCCACAGATTGTGGAAATTATCAAACAATGTTATTAACATCACATGCAAGTAATTAAAAAATGGTTACAGCAGTAGTATGACAGAGAACTTCCAGAAATGCAAGCTGGATTCAGAAGAGGATGTGGAATGAAGGATATCATTGCTGATGTCAGATGGATCTTGGCTCAAAGCAAAGAATACCAGAAAGATGCTTGCTTGTGTTTTATTGACTATGCAAAAGCATATGATTGTGTGGATCATAACATTGAGGATAACATTGAGAAGAATGGGAATTCCAGAACACTTAATTATGCTCATGAGAATCTGTACATAGACCACAAGGCTGTCATTTGAGCAGAACAAGGGGACACTGCATAGTTTGAAATCAAGAAAGGAGTTTGTCAGGGTTGCATCCTTTCACCATAGTTATTCAATCTGTATGCTGAACAAGTAATCCAAGAAGCTGGACTATGAAGAAGAATGTGGCATCAGGATTGGAGGAAGACTCATTAACAACCTACATTATTCAGATGACACAACTTTGCTCACTGAAAGTGAGGATGACTTGAAACACCTACTAATGAAGACTGAAGGCTACACTCTGCAGTATGGATTACATCTCAATATAAAGAAAACAAAAATCCTCACAACTGGATCAATAAGCAGCATCATGATAAATAGAGAAAAGATTGCAGCTGTCAAAGACTTCTTATTACTTGGTTCTAAAACCCTCAAACACCAATGGAAGCAGTAGTCAAGATATCAGAGGTCATATATAGCACTGGGCAAATCCACTGTAAGAGATCTCTTTCAAATGCTGAGGAGC